GCCTGCATACTCAAATGCACCCTCAGTCACATGTATGAACACACACACACACACACACACACACACACACACACACACACACAAACTTAAAAGCATGGGACTTCCTTAGGTCAAGAAGTAGAAGACTGAGCCCTTTGGGAGCCCAAGTCCTGCCCACTTCCAGTAGCTTCCCGCCCTGACTTCAAATACCCTGGATTGGGTCTGTGCTTCGCTGTTGTTGTTGTGTGGGAGACTTAATCCCTTTCAATATGATCCCCTCATTCAGTGTCCTGTTGTAAGAGTTACTCATATTGTTGCTTGTGGTTGGTTGTCCTCTGTGATGGCATATGCCATTGTGTGTGTGCTCCTCCTAGTTCATCTGTTTCACAGGATGAACATTGGGGGGATTCCATCTGGGTTAGCTCCAGATGGTGCTGCTGTGAATGTCCAAGCTCATGTTTTTGTTGCGCACACATGTCTAAGGATGGGACGGCAGAATCCTGTGATGCGCTTAGTGGATGCCTTTGGATGCTTCGGCAGATCGTTCCGACCGGCTTCCCTTGCCTCACTGTGCATGAATGTTCTGGCTGCTCTGTGCTCATCAGTACACTGCAGTCAGTGTTTGGGCTGTTTTCATGGGGCAGAATGGTGTATGGCTGTAACTGGTGTGTACTTTCCTGATGCGAAGTGAGATCAGGCGCTGGGTTTTAACATTGACTGCATTGATGCTAGATGGAAGATTGAGATGGCTTGGCTCTACCTCATGCTGCTGCTGGAGGGGACTGTCGTTTGCTGTACAGATGTTGAGGACTGGAGGTCTCCATGGGGTTTTCCAGTACACGATGACTCTGGCATGATGGCTGACTTTCATTCTTCTCTTCTCTTTAGAACATGAGGAAGAAGGAAGGAGCAGCTGGGACGTCAAGAACCAGACCTGCCAGCACAGGAGGACTGAGCCTGCTTCCGCCCCCTCCAGGTGGCAAGACCTCCACCCTCATCCCTCCCTCTGGGGAGCAGTTGTCTGTCGGGGGCTCTCTAGTCCAGCCAGCAGTTGTTTCTGGTTCAGGTGAGTGCTGGGGTGACGGTTGCGTCCGAACCTGGCAGCTTTGTCCCCAGAAGTGATCCTGTTGCTCCCCTTTCTCACACTCACTTTGTAGCTGTGTGTGTGTGACTAGATGGTGGCACCAGCGTATCTTGCTATACTTGAGGTTCTTCTGTTCCCTGGCCTTTCTCGTAACCCTTCAGGGCACCTGTCCTGTCCTGGTAGGCAGTGACTGAAGTTATCACTATGCAGGTGGCTGGGCCTCAGTTGTTATCAAGAGGTCTGTGCTCAGATGTCGTGGGAGAGGTGAACCACAGGTGCACAGGACAAATGTATCGGGCCCACGTCACTAGGGTCAGCAACACACCCCTTGGGGGAACTTTCCAGAGGAGCCTGGACTCTGAAGGAAGGCCACTGGGGCAGGAGTTGGCATTCTAGGTAGAAAGAAGAGCGAGACCAAGGCTGAGATTTTGAGAAGCACTGTTCTTAGAGAGGTGGATGCAGCTGTTAGTGTCCGCTGTGAGCAGGAGACACCACGGTGGGGATGTGGTGTGGGCTCCTTGGTGCACCATCAGAAGCTGGGAAGCTGAGAGGCTGCTTTCCCTTCACCTCCCCACCAGGCTGGGATTGTCACCAGCCCTTTTTCCACAGTGCTCTCAGCAGGTTTGGAGTGATGCACCTAGGCAGGGAGCCTTCCAACCCGACAGTTTGAGGTTGGTCAGGAGAGTGCCAGAGGTGAAACCAGCCTCTGCCTAGCATCAGGAAATCATTCTCTGGCATTATGTTTAGAGTGTGCTCACAGGAGACTGGCTGTGGCATCGCCAGGGACAGGAGCAGCAGTCTGAATGCTTAGGACATTCTTGTGTATGTCTCGGCTTTCCCTGGTTTCTGGGCCCTGTCTGAGTGCATGTGGAGGATTAGGTCCTGGAGATACCATAGGACAGGTATTCCTTGACTTGGGATGGATGGAGTAACATTCTGACAGACAGGTAGAAATGCATTTAACACCTTCCTAAACCATAACAAAGCTGAAAAACCAAATCCAGCACCATTAAGTCGGGACGCTTTGTACAGCGTGGAGTCTGCTCTCTGTGACTTCCATCCTAGTGCTCACAGCCTGCAGTAAGCATGTTCACACACAAGATGGTGTCAAGCAGTAGGCCAGCTGCTGGTGCTGTCTGCTCTGGAGCCACTGTGACAGAATTTAGACCAGTTGTGAGCTCCTAGTGGCCTGCATCTCTGTGCCTCTGTTTCCCATCTGTAGAATGAATAGTGATGGTGCCTATAGTGAAGACCACCTGAGCTAAGCCATGTGCCACATGGAGTAGTATGCTGATCACTGTGAGCTCTCACTGGGTGCCAGCCTGGGTTTACTCATTGGCATTTTAGTGACACTGTGTGCTGGGTGTACTGAGCATGACATATCTATGCACTCACTCTGCCCTGTGAAATTATCCTGTCAGCCGAATGAGAGATAAGAAAACTGAGACTCAGATGACCTGCACAGTTACACGCTAATCCCGGCCTGACCTCCTCTAGGCGCTGTGGTGAGATTCAAATGGGATAATGCATGCTTAGCATTCATGCGAAGTGACCCCATTGTGGGCCTTCATTTATCTGGTTTTCCAGCCCAGGGCAGATGAGAAGTGGCAACGTGGCCGTTGGCAGCCTAGGAAAGGTGCCAGGGGTAAGAAAGCAGGAGTAGGCTGCCCCAGAAGAGAGGTGCAAGGCCAGCTCTGTGTGGCCTCGACTGGAAGGCTCTCCCTGGCAGGGTTTGACCTGAGGCTCTAGCCAGTTGCCCCACACGGTACCGCAGCTTTCTGGAAGGTGCTCTGGGGTTTGGGGAGGCATTCCCACTCCAGAAGCCAGGGCAGAGCACAGGTGTGACTCCTGGGCCCTGGCACCTTTCTTTCCACCTTGTGTGTGGCTCCTGCTTTCTCTCTAGGGACCACCAAGGATCCATGAAGGAGGTGGTGGAAATGTGACTCTCTGGAGTCATTTGTCTCCCTGTGTCTCAGCTGCCTGGGGTCATGAGACTGGCCACCAGATTTCAAAATTTAGTAACTGAGACCACCAGAAAGAGATCTCTGACTTCCCTGTCTCTTTTCTCCCTCACTGGCCTTGGGGACATCACTAGGAGGTGCAACAGAACCCTGGCCACAGTCTAAGCCTGCTGCCGCTGCCACTGCTGATGTCTGGGGTGACTTCACCAAATCCACAGGGTGAGGCGGGTAGCTTTCTGGGCTGGGTGGGGCCAGAGTTGTCCCCTGAGGTCCCTGGAATTGCTGGTTCGGGAGACCAGCTGTAGTTACATTTTCACGGTAAACATGGGGCAGAGCCCCTAGCTTGGGCGACATACTGCCCTCCTTACCTCTATAAAGGTTTTTCACTGTTCCCCACTGCCTGAAACCTCCTTCTGCAAACTAGTCACCAAGTGCTGCCCTGGGTCAGGAATCAAGACTCAAATTTTAGGCCTGGACCATCTTTACAGGACCTCTGAGGAAGGCATCTCCTGAGCTTTATGGCCTGCCCTTGGGATCAGTGTGGAAAGATGCCAGATTCCTGCATCAGGGTGTATGGGAGGCTCTGGGGCTGTCAGTACAGGTCTGTCTTCTGTAAAGAATGGACAGCTAAAATCCACACACGGGCCAGATTTGCTGCCTGCTGCTCCAAGCCCTTTGGGGACTGCCTGCTCAGAGCTCCTTCTGCCCAAAAAGATGCCCACCGTAGCTGCTGTCCAACAGCGTGATAATGCCACCCTCCCTGTCTTCCCTTCACAGGTCGCCGTCCAGCCAGTCTCAGCCAGGCACCGGCTGGGTCCAGTTTTGATGCACAACTTTTTCTTCATGACTTCCGGGAAGGAGCTGCCTCATCCAGGCCCACAGAAGGAGGCAAAGCGCTCTCTGGTTGGCCCCTGGAACATCACTGTCCTCTCCTTGCCCGGCTCTCTTACAGCCTGAGCACAAGAAGCAGTAAATGGGCACCGTGCCACACTTGCTGGGATTCAGGGGCTGCACAGCCAGAAGACAGGAGCAAACACTCCAGGCCCCCCGCCCATCCTTCCTCCTCACGGGAGGGACCCAGACCTGCCCTCTTCCATGAAGTGATCCTTATTAAACACAGCCCCTAAAGCACAGAATGGGTTGAGTTTGTGGCCTGGGTTCAGCTCTGCCCTTCAAGTTGGCAGGTGTCCCAGATTCATTGTTGGGCTGGGGTCTCTGCACTCTGTCCATAGTATCCGTTGTCGGTGCCTTCCAGAGGAGACCATCCTGGTTGCTAGCAAGTCTTTGAGCTGTAGCTTGAGTGGTCTGTCAGGGGACACTGGAAGGATTAAGCAGCTTTTTGAAAATGTTAATACATTGCTCTGCTAATATGCTGACCAGCACTAACGTGCCCTTGCAAGGGACCCACCATGGCGAGGGCCTTTCACACCTTTCTCCCTGCCCTGAGCCCCAGAGGCAGCAGTGAGAGTCAGCTTGCATACCTCCTTTCCCTGTCTTCAGCCAGGCCCCCCTCAGGTGGGGCAGGCTCTGGAATCCTGCTGGTTAATGCGGGGGAAGTTGCAGCATCACAGACTAGGCCAGCCTGCCTGTTTCTGGTTCTGCTCGGGCTCACAGGTTCATGGTATAGCTGGTCCTTCCCTGGTGGCTTTTGGAAGGAATATCTGTAGATAGCCTCTTTTTTCCCTTTAGAGACTGTGACAGAAGGAGGTCTGTTAGCTGGAAGTACAGGCCATCAGGAGTAGTGATTTATAAGAAATCATTGTCTCCTCATTGCATCTCTAAAGTTCTTTATAGACTTAACCTTCAGTTGAAAGGTTTCTCCTTTGAAAGGTCAAGAACGTGAACTGAAAGAAGTTTTGACCTTGTGGGACCAGAGTTTTAAAGATGGAAAAATAAATGTTTTTACTTCTGTAGTTTATGTCAGATGGGTGTGTTCTTGGCAGCGTGACTGCTCAGGTGCCAGGGCATCCTGTCATCCAGAAGAGAACCTGATCCTTTACTCTGAGGATAGCACCTCTCTTAACATGTCTAGAGGAGTCTTTTCCCATCCTGTGGCAGTTGGAGACTGCTTGTGTCATAGACCTTCAGTGGACAAAGCTGTGGAGAACCACACAAGCCCAAGTGTGAAAGGGTGCACGTACACAGAGGCCAGGCAGAAAAAGTTAAGAAATCCTGCCCACTGAAAACAGAAGAGGACTGTGCCTCACTTCTGCATCATATTGCTGCCCACTAAGTGAATGCCCTTTGTGTACATGGAGGCTGAACATCAGAATGTGTAGACCTGTAGGGTTCCCTTAAAGTCTGCCAGGTGTGATGGTACCTACCTGTAGTTCCAGTACTCAGAAGTGGAGGTGGGAAAATGATGAATTACAGGCCAGCCCTGGCTACATACTCAGACTTGATATCACGAATATTATAGGAGCTAGAGAGATGGCTCAGCATTTAAGTGTGTGTACTGCTCTTGCAAAAGACCCAAGTTTGGTTTTATTGCTGTGAAAAGACACTATGACCATGGCAACTCTTATATAAAGAAAAATATGCCTCTTTCCACCATGCCTCTTTCTGCAAACCATCACCATGGTGCGTAAGAATGTCCTGGCTGATGCCCTCAAGAGCATCAACAATGCTGAGAAGAGAGGCAAAAGCCAGGTCCTCATTAGGCCCTGTTCCAAAGTCATTGTTCGGTTCTTAACTGTGATGATGAAGCATGGTTACACTGGTGAGTTTGAAATCATTGATGACCACAGAGCTGAGAAAATCATCGTGAACCTCACAGGCAGATTGAACAAGTGTGGAGTGATAAGCCCTAAGTTTGATGTGCAACTCAAAGACCTAGAAAAATGGCAGAACAATCTGCTCCCATCCCGTCAGTTTGGCTTCATTGTCCTGACGACCTCAGCTGGCATCACGGACCATGAAGAAGCAAGATGAGAACACACAGAAGGGAAAATCCTGGGATTCTTTTTCTAGAGATGTGAAACACAAAAAGCCTCCATGGACTGAAAAAAAGAAAAAGGTTTATTTATTTGGGGCTGGCTCACAGTTTCAAAGGTTTTGTCCATTATTGTCATGGCAGGAAGCATGGTGGTGTGCAGGCAGACGTAGTATTGGAGAGAGAGCTAAGAGTTCTACATCTTGATCCTGGGGCAAGCAGAGGGAGACTGTGCTAGACTGGGCATAGCCTTTCTCCACCCCCTGGGATCTTTGCCTGGAGTCAGACTCGCCCCTTCGCTACGCCACGCCCCTTTGGCGTGGAGCCTTTCCCCACAGCAGGGCGCATGCTCTGTCTTAGCCTCGCCCCCGCTTCACCATGTAGCGCCTTTCTCCACCAGGAGGCGCTCACTCTGCCTCGGCCCCGCCCTCGCCCGTTGGGACCACCCCCTAAGACCCCGCCTCTTCCTCCCTCTCCGTGCCTCGAAGGCCTTTCTCTTTGGTCGGTCCCTCCCGCCGTTCTAGCCCCACCCCTACGTCGCCACGCCTTCTCCACGCCCCCGAAGCGCACGCCCCGCCCCTCGGCTGTGTCCGCTCGGCCTCGGCGGCGGCCCGCGAAGGTAGGAGCCCGCGCCGCGCGTGCGCGGGGCGGGGACGGGGCGGGTGCGCCCGGCTAAGGAGGCGGGCTGGAGCTGTGTGGGTGTCCTGGGGTCTCTAAGCACCCCGGGCGACCCGGCCGGGCTGGACTGGGCCAGGTCTGGGCGGGAAGGGAACGCACGGGTGGTGCGTACCCACTGGAGTCTTCCCGCCAGGGCCCCGGGGCCTGAGGCCCAGCAGGCTCTCACGGGATGCTCTCACTCCGCTGGGCGCAGCCGTCGAGGACGACGGTCACCCAAAGCCGCGTGTCGCTGCTCACGGCCTCCCGAGTGGCAGGCCGGGCCCCACGTCCCTCACTGGGAGCTCTTTCTCTTTCCTTTAGCCAATCTCTCTCCGTAGTGCACACGAGCAAACTGGGGCCCAGTGCGGTCACTAGGCGGTCTAGCATGGTGAGGACGCAGAAACCTGTCGGAGAGATTTGGGTTTCCAACCCAAGGGTTCTCAGGGTGGGTCCAGCCAGTAGCTCTGGAACTGGCATTTGGAGAGAACTTGCAAACCCAAGCCTGAAGGAATGTCTGTCCCCCCACTCCACATCTGCCCAACCCCCTGGGGACCGGACTTGCCTGGAGAGTTAGGACCTTGGAAATAACCGCTGTCTACTTCAGATTTCCTGTTTTCCTGTTGAGATCACAAATAACTCCAAGAGTAGCAGAGGCTGTGGTTCCCAAACACGCGTTCTCTTCATTTGCCCCCCACCTACCAGGCGCAAGTCCTGCAGATTGAATGGGTCTCGGACTGTAGGAACCCTTAACCCTTCTAGGGGGCACTGCCTGGCCTGGACTCCTGGTACTGGACATGGGTTTACTGGTGTCTTGTGGTCCCTGGCTGTGTGGCATGGCTGAGATTTATGCAACCCCCAGCCAAAGTTAAGGGGATTATTCACCCCACCCCCCATTTAATTTCCTGTTCAGGTTAAATATCCCCCAAATCCTTCATTTAAAACAATTTTTTAGAGCCAGGTGGTGGTGGCACACGCCTTTAATCCCAGCACTCAGGAGGCAGAGGCAGGTGGATCTCTATGAGTTGGAGGTCAGCCTGGTCTACAGAGCGAGTTCCAGGATAGCCAGGGCTACACAGAGAAACTCTGTCTCAAAAAATCCAAAAAGCAAAACAAATCAAAAACCAAGTTTTCAGATATTTATATATACATAAAAAGATTTGGGGGAACAGGACCCAAACCAAAGCAAAATGCACTCGTGCCTCCTACTTCAATATCCATATAGCCTGCAGTAATTTTACACGTTTGGTGTACTGTGGTTAGTCACAGGAAGTTAGGTATGGACCACTTGTGGCATTGACTCAGAACTTTCAGGTTTTCAGATTAGAGATGCTCAGCCTGTTTAGTTGCTCATTGCTCATCTAGGGGTTCATTCATTCATTCATTCATTCCTTCAACAACTGTTTGTAGAGCTTTGGGCCCTGGGCACCGTGGAGGTGCTGATGCACGATGCTCTGGGTAGAGATGGCAATGTAAGCAGTGAATCACTACCAACGAGGACCACTTTAGATGGGGGGGTCCAAGCTAGCTCTCTCAGAAGGTGATGCTGTTGAGCCGAGATCTGATCTCACTGGTGCAAGGTGACCAAGCCTCTGAGGAGGCCTGGCCAAGATTAGCGTTAAGGTAGTCACTTGCTGTCAGAGTTCATTTTTGTTGTTGTGTAGAAATCACAAGACTGGATAGGTTTTTTTTTTTTTTTTTCCCCTCTTTAAGTTTATTTATTTTTATTTTATGTGTATGGGAGTTTGCCTGAGTATATGTATGTGTACTTTGTGTGTGCCTGGTGACCACAGAGGCCAGAAGAGGATGTCAGATCCCTTAGAACTAGAGTTACAGACAGAGCTACCACATGGATGCTAGAAACAGAGCCCAGGTCCCCTGCAAGAGCAGCAAGTGCTCTTAACCACTGAGCCATATCCCCAGCCCTAAGACTGGGTAATTTATAAATGAAAAAGCTCAGTAATTCATGCTGAAAGATAGGAGTTCCATGGGTATCATATCTGGCAAGGAACTCATGCTAACAACGGGGTGGGGAGACAGAATGGGGGGGCAGAGGGGAGGTGCTGAACTCACCCTACAGCAGCCACTTTATAAAAGAAAAAATCCACGGGCTGGAGAGATGGCTCAGGTGTTAAAGGCTAGGCTCACAACCAAAAATATAAGAGTTTGGTTCCCAGCACCCATGGCTGTCTCTCCAGTCACACACACACATTTACATGTATGTGTGCCTCTGCAGTGCATATATGTGTGCATGTGTATTCATATATGTGTGGGTGCACCAGAGGTTGGTGTCAGATGTCTTTCTCCGCCACTTTTCACTTAATATATTGAGGCAGCGTCTTCTGCTGAACCAGAGCTCAGGGATTTGGCTGGTCTAGCTCTCCAGCTTGGTCTGAGGATTCCCTGTCTCTGCCTCCTGAGTGCTTGGATTAGAGGTGGGCAGTCAGGGTTACTATTGCTGTGATGAAACACCATGACCAAAGCAACCTGGGGAGGAAAGGGTTTAGTTTTTATTTGGCTTACACTTCCACATCCACAGTCCATCTCTGAAGGAAGCCAGGACAGGAATTCAAGCAGGAGCTGGTGCAGAGGCCATGGAGAGACGCTACTTACTAGGTTGCTCCTCATGACTCGCTCAACCTGCTTTCTTATAGAACCCAGGACCACCAGACCAGGGATGACCCCACCCACAGTAGGCTGGGCTCTCCCCATCAATCACTAATTGAGAAGATGCCCTATAGATCTTATGGGTATTTTCTCAATTGAGGTTCTCTTCTTTCAGATAACTCTAGCTTGTGTCAAGTTGACCTAAAACTAGTCAGTACAACCACCCTGTATTTACAGAGGTGCCAGGGATCAGAAGTCATGCTTTTGTGGTAAGCACTTTGCCTACTGAAGCACGCCCCCCTTTAGATTTTTTTATTTCATGTGTATGAGTGTTTTGTTTGCATGCATGTCTGCATACCATGTGCATGCCTGGTGCCTGCAGATGCCTGCAGGGACCAGAAGGCATCAGAGTCCCCTGGAGCTGTAGTTAGGTGGGTTCTGAGAATTGAACCTAGGTCTTCTGGAAGAGCAGTGAGTGTTCTTAACCACTGCACCATCTCTTAATGTAGCCCAGTTTGGGTCAAACACGATTCTTCTGCCTTTGCTTCCAAAGTGCTGGGATTACAGACCTGAACCACCACACCTGGCTTTAACCCACACTTGTGATATAAGTAAACTACAGTGTTGAGAAGGCGTAATCCCTCTGACCTAATCCCCTCTTAAAGGTCCCATCACCTCTCAACTCTTATTCTGGGGACCAGATTTTACCATGAGTTTGGGAAGGGACAAACCACGTTAGAACCCCAGCAGGTAATGCTGTAGCAATCAGATTCCTATGATGAATTTGGCCTTCCTTCCTTCCCTTCCCTTCCTTTTTCCTTCCTTCCTTCCTTTCTTCCTTCCTTCCTTCCTTCCTTCCTTCCTTCTTTCTTGCTTCCCTCCCCCTCTCTCCCTCCCTCCCTCCCTCCCTCCCTCCCTCCCTCCCTCCCTTCCTTCCTTCCCTACCTACCTACCTGAGACTTGGAAGGAAGCTGCAGATATCAGGGCAGTGCACACCCACAGAGTTTTTCAGTGCCGTCTCAGGATCCATGGGGAGAATTTTTGGTAGAGCCAAGGGTTGGTATTACCCAGTGTCCGGGGTCTAGCATCCTGCCCCTTTCAATATCTTAGGACACTGTGGGAGACACAGAATATTTCTGTTCCATTCTCCAAGCACATCTGTGATCTCATCCGTGCTCAGTTGAGCATCTAGGGACTAGACATCCTGGCCCAGGGTGATCGAGGTTCTCCTTGGCCAAGTTATGGGTATTACAGCCTGGAGGAGTTCTGTGGAGGCTCTTTGGAAGCAGGGCAGGGCTGAGTGGCAGCTCTCTGCTCATGGGTTTAGTTTTGCTGAAATCTGGATGTTTGCCATAGCAGCTTAGTGGCACTTATCTTCTTGGTCTGGTGTACCTTGTTTCCCGCATTTCCATTTGCAGGACAGATTCCTTAGCTGGGAAGGAGAGATCAGTCTGGATTGATGTACATTTATGTAACACCTGCTGCATCCCTGGGTCTGTCCTGGATACAGTCACAGGCCTTGCCCTTCAGGCATTTTGGGAGGTTGCTTGGTCTAAGTGGGGTGAGCTTTAGGCTCACACTTCTGCACAGTGTGTCACCTTGAATAGATGAGACCCCATCCCCACCCCTCTGAGCCTTGTTTTGCTCATCTGGAAATGGGCTGATGTGAGGATTTGATGAGTTCAAGTGGACCTGTCCTAGAACTGAGGGACCTGGAGAGCAGGAGATGGCAGATGGTGGTAATGTGAGCTGTGAGCTCCCCGCCATGCCTTGTGTGTTCTGAAGCACTCCCTGCTTTGAGTACTCTTTAATCCCTACAGCGACCCTCTTCCTGTTTATAGAGGAGGAAACAGTCTAGAAGAGGTCATTTGTCCAGGGCCATACTGCTAACATGTGGCGCCAGCAACTCGAGGCTCTAACTGGTGTGCCACACAGCCTCCTTGCTGCAGGGAGGGAAACTGCCTCAGACTCAGGCCCAGGGACTGTGCGTGTTGAATTTTCCAATGGTTGAAAACAGTGTTTACCCAGTTTACCAGTGTTAATGGTGTGAACTGGCGCCCTGTTGTGTGCTGCTGTTG